ATTTTTGCGTATGCCGTTTGGCCTTTCAGGGGCCCCGGCAACATTTCAGCGATGCATGGACATTGTGTTAAGACCTGTTCTTGGAAAGTCCACATTTATCTATTTAGACGATATCATTATTACTAGTGATAATCTCGACCAACATGTACAGGATTTAAGACAGGTGTTTTCTTTATTAAATGAGGCCGGTCTAAAAGTTAATGTCGAAAAGTGCAAATTTGCAGCCCCTGAATTAAAATATTTAGGTTACAAAATATCTCAAAAAGGAATCGAGACAGATGAATCAAAAATAATCGCTGTACAAAAGTATCCGACTCCAAACACGGCAAAGAAGCTCTCTTCTTTTCTAGGACTTTGTTCATATTATAGGTCCTTTATAAAAGATTTTGCGGCTATCGCTGAGCCATTGTTAAAATTAAAAAGGAAAAAGGCAAGATTCTCGTGGACGGCCGAAGCCAATAGTGCTTTCGAAAAATTAAAACAAGCATTAACGCAAGCCCCTGTGTTGAAATTTCCTGAAAAGGATGAGAATTTAGAAATTTCAGCGGATGCTTCGGATTATGCGGTAGGAGCGGTACTTTCGCAAAATCAGCAGCCCGTGGCATTTTTTAGCCGAACTTTAAATCAAACACAAAGAAACTATTCCGCGACCGAGAGAGAGGCACTTGCAGTTCTGTTAGCAGTGCAAAAGTTCCGAGTCTATTTTGGAAAGGCGCCAATAACAGTGTACTCTGATCATGCGGCGGTAACTAGATTGTACTCAGGGAAAAAATTTATCCCCAAGGTTAATAAGATGGGCACTCAAGCTGCAAGAATATAATCTGGTAATCAAGCATACCCCCGGAAAGGAAAATATCGTAGCAGATGCCCTATCACGAATTAAAATAGATGAACAAGGTAATACCGTAAAGGTGGCAATGCTCACAGCATGTACAATAAATTCCCGAGAAACTGTAATAACCGAACTGGGTAAGGATCCTGAGTTTGGAAGCATTTATGAGTATTTAAAGGATCCTGAAAATTTTAGCCACCAAGATATTGTGGCGATAAGAAATAGGGCGGCCCATTACGAACTAATAGATGGTCTATTATTTTATACAAAAACTACGAATTCCAACAACGAATTTCGACCTGTTATCCCAGCTAGTCTTAGATTAAATATCCTGCAGGAGCTCCATGACAGCCCTTTAGCTTCTCATGCTGGTATTCGAAAAACTATCCAACGCGTACGCGAGGCAGTCTACTTTCCTGAACTGCAAAAGTTAACAAGGGCGTATGTCCAGTCCTGCCCAACATGTCAAGCAGTTAATTATATTAATTTCCGCCCGGCCGGGTTTCTAAATAGTATTAAATCCGAATTTCCAAATGAAATAATTGGCATCGATTTATTGGGCCCTTTCCCAAAAAGTCAGTTAAATAAAAGTCGCTATCTCCTTGTTATGGTTGATCATTTTAGTAAATGGACCGAAATTGTTCCCTTAAAACGAGCCTCCGCGAAATTAGTTACTGATTCTATTTTAAATAAATATATTTTAAAATACGGGGCGCCCCTAAAAGTTATATCGGATAATGGTCCTCAATTTGTAAGTAATATATTTGAAGACATGTGCCAAAAAACTGGGCATACGTCATTTAAAAATGGTCCCGTATCGGCCGCAATCAAATATAGCGGAACGGGTCAATAGAAATATAGTGAAAATTATCCGTAGTTATGTTAAAAATTTTCATAAAAGCTGGGATAACTATGTCAATGAATTTGCTTTCGCCCTTAGGACCGCAAAACATGATACAACGGGCAAAACTCCTGCTGAGTTATTTCTAGGCAGAAAGATTATAACACCGTTAGATAAATTATTTTATGTGCAACAAAGAGCCCCAGAATTTAAAATGGGTGATATAGAAAAAAACTAATTAAAGAAGCAAAAAAGAATACGGAAGTAGCACAGAGAAAACAAAAAATTATATATGATTTGAAACGACGGGGAGTAACTTATAAAGTAGGGGATGAAGTTTTAAAAATTAAGCATTCACTTTCTTCAGCACCAGAAGATAAAACTGCCAAATTTTTTCCACGATTTGAAGGACCATATGTTATAGAAAAAATAACTCACGCTGTAGTAGTGTTAAAGCCAGAAATGGTGAAACCTGTTCCGCAAACATTGATCAAATCAAAACCCTACTTCGATCGTAATAAAATGCAAATCTTTTCAGATCTTTTGCAGGATCCGGCACGGCAGACACCGCAGGCACAAGCTCCAGAGGTGGAAAAAACGACAAGTACAAGGGCAAGCCATTAAGAGGCAGGAGCAAGTGAAGTGAAAAGAAAATTTTCCCCGCGGACGCGGAAAAATTGAAGGTAACAAGAAAAAGAAGCCGTTCCACCGTCCAGAAAAGAGAGTTCACGAACACCCCCAGAATGAAGAAGGGAGAAGGACGACGTATGTGATGAAAGAGAACCAGGAGAAATGACGGCAACTATAACCCGGCTCTAAAACGGAAGATCTACTCATCCGACAGAACTCTCCGCAGCAAAAGTCGCCGAACTGCGGAAGGGCCATCAGCGGCGGAGGAAAAAAAAGTACAAGGAAAAATTTGAACGGCCAACAACGAGGTCCAAGCAGGAACACGACAGAAGTTTCCCGGTTCCGCCAAGACCAGCTGCCATCAAACGGCCAAGACCACAAGCAGAGGCGAGAAAAAGAAGGTATTCAAGGGTGGCCGAACTGGTGAAAAAAGGAAGCTTCCAGAGGAAAGCACTGAAGGGCGAGCCCGTACAAGAAGGAGGATAAATCAAACAACTATCTGCAGCTACCTTTAAAGGACTGGGCCCAGAAAAGGATGTCCGAATATTACAAAGATAAGTAAAATTTTATGTTACTTTGCAAACTTAAGTTAATCTTTCATTCTTACTGCAAGTGGCAGATTTCAAGAAGTTTTACCTCATGCGAGGTCTACCTTTATCGCCAAAAGGGCGAGAAATGAGTTGTGACCGATTTTGGTATTATGTTTTTCAATTACTCGCGCGTAAAACTAAAGTTGATGTATAATAGCGTTGTGTAAAGACTTAAATATTGTAAAAAGTTATTGTATAAATTTTATTTAAAACATTCTAGCAAGAAAGAAGTTTTAGTCTGAAAGACTTTTTGAAATGTAGTATTATTTCAATGTAGAAAGAATTGGCACTTGCTTTGAAAAGAATAGAAGTTAACAATGTACTACTAATGTATGTTTTCAAATGTGTAAAATTAACGGCATGTTGATATGTTCTTATATACAATGTGAACTGTTATTTTAAATGTTAAGAAATACCGTGATATGGTAAAAAGTGAATGTTAAAAATTTTTTTATTCGTGTGACTGTAAAAAGACTTAAATCATGGTGAATATGTGTTAAAGGTTGAATGATGTAGTTAGGCTCTCTGACGCTACACTTCAGAGTTAGCCACTTTCAGAATAGTACCTCAGGGTTTAGAGTTGAAATTAGGGTGTGTTAAGAGGTCTTGTTATGTTGAATTTTAACACGTTAGTGTTTTGATTGTAGGAGGAAGTGTTGAACACGTAGACAGAAACACATTCGTGTTTGGTGTTCTTTTACAACACATGTCAGAGAGCACGGGGAGAGATAATTAAAATAGTCATGAATGAAATAAGAATGTTAAGAGAAGTATAATTATATGTTACTTGCCATTTCATTGTGTGTAACATTTCATTAAACTAGTTTTCCTTCCAGATCTCTGGAAGGAACCAGATTTGAATAAAGCTCCTGTTTAGATGCAGTACAGATGAAAAAAAAAAATTGTTGTATCCTGGGAGCTGCTATTGTAAAAACAAATTTCTTTCTTTTAAATTTCTAGTTTCTAGCGAAAATGATTTGTAAAAGATTGGCCTCGCGTTAGATTCTAGAGCTAAAAGTTTTCAACAAGGTCGTTTTAGACCTCAGTTTCAAACTAATTAACTCTGGCGGGAAGTATGTAAGGATCTTAAGTTTTACTAACGTTTATTTTATTTTAAATCTTTACTATCACTTCTTATTTTCTACTTCCGGCCAGAATTATAAGCGTTAAGGTTTTATGCAAAGTTTGTCTGGCGAACGCCAAGTATTTAAGTTGTGGCCTTTTTGCCAAGCGAGAGAGAGGAAGCAGTGAGTCGAAGCAGGCCGCTTACCTTAGAAGTTACGCAGTTGCTGGTTTGCCTTCCAGGCCAGAGGTTTTAATCCTCTTGATAAATTTTTAAACGTATTGTAGTGTTCACAGTTCTCTGTACTACATACGCTTCCTGTTAATTATAAGGCCAATCTTCCACGTTTATTATTTTAAAGTTAAATTAGAGTTTAGTTTATTTTTATATTTTACGTTAGACCCCAAGTAGAGGGTCTTGTATTCCGAAGTACGGAAGTTATTGTAAATAGAGAAAAATAAAGGGTTTTGTATACCCTTCTTGTGTATCCTGTCTACTTCCCACAATTAGTGAACATAGCTTTAGTAAGCTCTCTGTTCCGAGTCAGGTCCTTGCATGTTCCCGAAGAAGGTAAGAAGGAACATAGACCCTGATAATATCACTAGAATATAAACGTTCGCGCATGAAGAACATGTCGTCTATTTTTTCTTAATTTTATTCTCATCACATCTTAAAAAACAAATCCAAGTGTAGTAATTCGATAAAAATAAAATAATAAACTAACCTAGTAAGCAATAAAATCCGTTCATTAGAATTCTCATGATTTGTTTTTTATAAGCATTTATCGCAAGGCCTACCGGGAAAAAAATATTCAAACGACTGCAAACGCACGGTCGTCTGATTGCATGATCATTTTATTTTTAACAGCGACCTTACTCTGAATCTTAATTGGTGCTAAATCGCAGTGATTGCAGATAGGTCCAAGGGATAGTGCGTAAGTACCAAGATTTATAGAGCAAAATGCTTTGCATAACAAACACTAAATACTGCTTACTGTTAATAATTTAATCTGCATTAACAATGTTGTTGAATTTTGTTGCGCAGGTTTTCCCATTAACCTCAATATACATTGTGGAATTACACCAATAAGTCCAGAACTAGGAAATGGAGATCGGATAGTTGGCGGACGGCCAGCTGTTCCTGGTAGTTGGCCATGGCAATGCTCCTTGCGTAGAAAGGGAAATACCATTTATGGTCACTTATGTGGAGCGGTTCTGATAAACAACCAATGGCTATTAACGGTTGCACACTGCTTTAGAGAGTAAGTGTTGAACAACATGATACAGTAAAACGTGTTCAATTTTGCACTTTATCATGAATATGTCTAATTATAGAAATGTATTTCATATTAAATTGCATGCTTCCCAATAATAACGTGAGTAGCAGGTAATGGATCAGGCTTTTGTTTTGAGACTAGAGACAATTAGTTTTTATTTGAGGATTCTCCGATTATATAAAATCTCTTCATGTTATTGAATTTACGCTATTGAGCATGATAAATGTAAATACAAATTTGGGGCTTTTAAACAACCAAACTGAAATCGACATGGAAGATGAAATTAACAATATGGAAGCTTTACGAGATATTAATTTGTTGTATAAATCATATACTTCATGTATAGAGCGAACTTAAACTGTAGATTACGGGAAATATGTGATGAAATTTTTAAAATTTAGTATTTATGTATATGTAAAACATAATTTTGGAAATTCTCATATTTTGAGTTGAAAGAATATGTCTCTGAACCGGGTTCATGTTTCGTCGAACGGCTGTCTGCATGTGAGCTTTTGTGGTTTTCCCCATGCGTAATGTGAATCTAAGTCAGTTTCCCTTAGGATGTCTCCCATGAAGATATTTCTGCTCTTAGTCAGATAATTCTTGTGAGGCTTCTTACAATCGAAATAATTCAGTACTCTTTCATATGCACACGCATTCATTGAAGAAATCCAAAGCAACGTGTGGTTACTGACTTTGTAGGCAATAAGTAAACATGTCTCTAATTGAATGAATAAGATATAATAGGGTATATTGCATAAAAATATTTCAGTAATCTTAGCTGCTTTACCAAATACGAACTTTTTCTTGAATTAAACAGCCTGACATCGGAGGTCGTTCTCTTTTCATAATTATCGCTCAACTAAATACCCGTGCTTGTACATTAGTACATATAGCCAGTAGTGTCTCGCTTTAGCAGAGCTTACGCTTCCCGCATGCGTAACAGACATTTTTGTTATCAACCTTTGTCGCTTGGCGAAGAATACAGACTTGAGACACACATAGTCAACTGTTGGCGAATGTGTCAGCTGTATTCACATCGAGAAATTCAATAGAAATTTATTTCCATATGCAAAAAATGAATTTTTCGAAAGCAGTCATAGGCCCAAAGGTAAATATTAATACTGTTTGCATTAATAATTACTGATTTGCTATTCATATAAACCCAGATGTGTGGAAATTTACTCGGGACTTAAAAAAGCATATGTGGAAATAGATTTGTTCTTTTTCTACTTCCATTAATAATTTTGAATTGCTTTAAATTAAAGTTGTAGCTTTCTGTAACATAACAATTAACTTGACCTTATTTCACATTTATTTCCAAATTCTTTTTAGTTTGATATTTCACCTTATATTTACTGTTATTATAGAAGTTGTTCTTTAATTTATTTGAATTAATACACTCCGCGAAGGCATACGTAACCCTATTCAAATGACTTTTCAGTAATTTGCCATAGGCAATTTAATCTTATTTTACATTTATTTTCCGATGTAGCTTTTTTTCTTTTTTGATATATCTTTTCATATTTACTAATATCATAAAAAATTCCTCTTTTCATAGGCATTCTGAAAACCAGACGTTGGTCCTTTCTTTTCTCATTCTTGATTACATTCATTATCTTACCTATTAGCAATCCATCCATAAGGATTACTAATAGATAAGATATACTTTAAAGCATTTTATTCTTCATCGATCCTTCAAGAATTCCGAGTAGGCTGACCATAATATAATATATTTTGCTAAAACTGGGACAATGTTGAAAAATTCTCACAATAGAAAATAAAATCTGAAATAAACCTGAAAAAGCTACTACTATTATTGAAAAGGTTAAAAAAAGAAGTTGTTAACAAAAAACAATATCGTCGGAAAGAATAGGACTTAGAACACTCCAAACATAAAAAAATTAGATTTCATAATTACCAAGCTAAATATAAGGAAACGATAAATTGATAGTTCTGAATTAACTTCCGTAGCATGAGAAAAATTAGCGAAACAACATGTCTTTAGTCCCCAGTCTCATGACACATCGCCAATAGTATTTAATGGAGGCCAGACAATTACACCAGCGAAGTATGTTAGTGTTTTTATGTGGTATCTTACCATCCGCCCACTTACCAGAGAACACGGTCTTAAAATCTCCAGCAAAAATAAACAAAGCTACTATAAGTTAACGTTTGACAACAGCATCTTGTGGTAAGGCTTGCCCAGATTACCGACAAGTTCACAAAACTCGAGGCCAACCTGTGCCTCGTTATATATATATATATATATATATATATACATTCTGAGATAGGAACAGTACCCAAAGTAAGACTTCAATATTCGCTTAGTTTGCTTCCAGAAGTCTAACCCTCTGCACTACCACGGTATGTGTATGTCCCGTAATATACATTTGCAATATTCTGTAAAGTTTGTGAAGTGTATTTGCAATGTGTACTAGTGTATGTTCTGCTGTAAAAAAAATTAAGTATATGAAATAAGGTAATAATTATGCAAATTATGTAGTTATGCCTTGAGCCACAACGATAGCAACACAGTGTTATATGGTGTATGTGATAATACTAGATAATTGGGGACTTGAAACAATACCACTTAACCTTCACCCGTCTAATGTCAACTGTAGGCCTTTTAACATCTGCTATGTGGTCTGAATCTCTGAATTCTGCTGCAGTGTTGAGATGCAAACGTTTTGAAACTTAGCTTTTCTGAATTAAGCTCAGATTCGATTTTATTTATACCCTCTAAAGAAGTCGTTTTGCACATGAATGCCTAATGTGATGACGGAGCCGTGCAAGTGTATTTTTGCAGATTGAGAATAATTTTGCTCTTATACAACCATGTTATGGATTTGATTGATTTCTCTCAGCAGTTTTTCTGCAGCATATTTTCTCGAATTGCAATAACATGCAGCATATTCTACATTCTGCAGAAAAGGGATATTTGAAATATCAAAGGTATTAGTCATGTACGAGTACATGTACATGTATTGAAAAGCAAGAAGCTCCGATGAGAAATTTGAGGAACTCGTCACATGATATTTTAAATTACAGAGATTAAGTTGCTAATGGGGGCCTTGAAACTTGCAGTTCTTTAAATAACTCTATACTAATTCAGGGATCTCAAATTCAAGAATTTAGTTGGATTTGAGAAGCTCACAAATTAGACCATGCTGTAGAATATTACAGAAGGATTCCCATATGTGTTCCCATATTTTGGAAAACAAACATTTTGGAAAAAAGGCATTTCAGAATAAATAATGCAAATCATTATTTTCGGAACCAATTGATAATTTCCGGAGCTGGTCCGTTCTAAATGTGCGCGTTTCCGCAAAGCATCTTTATAAAACAGTTAAATTTGCCTGTTGTAATTGTTTTGCTCAGCGTCGCGTTTACAGACTCCTAGGAATACCGTTACGAATTAATGGAAGAACTGGAACACAATTGAGCTACTTCGAAAGAAACCAAACTTGTCGGGTTACGTGACGTTGGCTGGTCATATCGAGCAGCAGGACAACGCCTCGATTATACGGATGCGGCCGTACGGAAATGTTGATATCAATGGTTGCTTCGAGGAACACATCAATGAAATGTAGGTTCTGGTAGACCAAAATGCAGAAATGCGGGGTAAATGCGAGGTTTCTTGTGCGAGAGTCCTAAACAGCTCCAACATTATCATTGTCTACAACAAGAACATGCTATAGCTTCTGCCTTAACTTCTGCAGTACCTTCCGCGATTTCAAGACATTTGATTGAGTCAGGTTTACGCTCATGTCACCTTTTAAGACATCTCTCTTTACCACCCCAACGTCGTCTGGAATGGTGCCTTGGCCAAACATCATTGTTGGCAGCTGACTGATATTGCATTATCTTCAATGATAAATCCTTTTTCTATCTTGAGATAGATGACCACAGTGCACGAGTAATGAGGAGGTCGATCTAGCATTGTTTAGCAGACCATATATTGCAGAAGTACACGAACAGTACTCTTCGTGTGATGATCCTGATGTGGGGGGCTATCACTTATGATATCAGTCACCCCTATTGGTCATGCTTACAACACTTATAGCGCAGTGATATGTTAACCTTCTGCAACCAATTGTGTTACTCCTCATCGCATGTCGCCCTGAGGCGAATAAGATGCAAGAAAATAATGCTCGATGCTCTGTGGCTCATATATGTTTGAAGTGTCTTCATGCTATTTCAACTCTTCCCTGACTAACCAGGTGCGCAGATCTTTCGCCAGTTGAATGTATATGGGAAATGTTAAGCCGTCAAATTCAGGTGCCACAAAATATCGAAATTCTGGAAGAGCAGTATAGAAGCGTCTAGCAAAATCTGTAAGGAGTTTCTTCTTTCTTACCACATAGCTTCGTGATATAATTGGAAGCATGTCTCGTGTGTTCTACAAATGTTACTGCAACAAAAATGTGGTATACGATAATTCTTCACGACCAGACATTGTTGACTGGGTTCCCTTCTCGACAGTCATCTTTTAAGTGAAGGAGAATGTAAGGAATTTCCTTCTTTCTTAATGTAGACCTTTGTGATGTAACTGGAAGCTCGTCCGGCTAGCAACTGGGAGATTTATAGTTTGAGTCATGGTGAGGGTATTGCTGATTTTTCTTTTTCCTTTCTCCAAAATAATAAACCTAATTTTTCTACAAATCTACTGGGCAATTACGTTAGGAACTTCATAATTCTTTACCTTGCCATATAGCAACGTGTGTATCTCACAGTCAGCGTTGGCTTCACAAATTACTAAATGCAACATTTGAGATAGACTGCTACACCCATTAAATGCCCTAGAACCTTCTAATCATTTCATTATATATATGTTGTTCATGGAGACCATTTAAAAACAGATACCAGATACCTCTTTCAAACTGGGTTTTTTTTTTTTTTTTTTTTTTTTTTTTTTTTTTTTTTCATTTTTACTAAGAGTTTTTCCTATTTCTTACTAAAGCATGCAATCTCAGTAGTCGAGT